TCCTTCCTTCCTTCCTTCCTTCCTTCCTTCCTTCCTTCCTTCCTTCCTCTTTCTTTCACAAGTCATCCAAAAAATATTTTATCATCTTCTATACGGCAGGCCCTGTTCCCAGCACTGAAAAATGTCATAGAAAAAGATAGAAAATATCTTTGCTCCAGGGAAGCTTACATTCTTGAGAAGAGAATTTTAACTAGGATTTGGCCTGGCTTTGAGTGACACAAAAAAAACACACAAAAAAAATCCTAAATCTTTGAAAGAACTTGTAAAATGGGTTTGCTGTCCCAGACCATTGAGGGTGGCTTCATGATTATCAGGCAGGTTTACCAAGTGGGGTTGCACAGGTTTTGCACTGCACAGTTCTAAAGAGTGTCATTCATATCATAGACGTAGATTTTTATTAACAGTTTTACACAAATGGAAGCAAACTTCCTAAATGAGGAACACCTTGCTTCTATCTCACACAAACCACCATCTAGGATAGTGAGGAAGCCTCAACACCCTCATCGTGCACCGTCCGCTTCATAGTACTTAGTCCACAGTTCAGCCCACAGGGGAGAATAGGACACGCTTTCTCCCTTTGAGGGAACTTCTTACATGTTACAAATTCTGCCTGCGCTCATATGTCATTATCAGAACCTAGAAACGTAACCACATCTAACTGCAAAAAAGACTGAAAATACTCTTTTTTCCTGGATTCCACATATTCCCAGAAGATCAGGAGCTTTCTGGTTCCTGTCAAAATGTGAAATACAATAGCTGCTATGTCTCCCCAAAAATAAACCATGGAGAAACAATACATATTAAAATACTTATACACTGTAGATAATCGCATTTTTTAAATTGCATTTGATACGGCACACTTGGGGAGATCTTTATTTCTCTGTGTTGTCTAAAGGATGTTGCACCGTCCTAAGAAAAAATTAGCACTCAATATGTAGTTGATGAAACATGGGCCAAACCCACTAACTACTGTAATATTCCAGGAAGAAAGAAAAAATTACTCGGCCTGATAATTCTCTATATGCTTGAAGATTGGCATCAAGCCACCTCTCAAACTTATCTTCTGAACCAACTAATCTCCATTCCTTTATCTTTGCTTATTGACTTGGGTGCAGACACCTTAATTATCTTCTAAGCATTACTACAGATTCTTTCCGCTTTGACTAAATAAACAAATTTGATAAACCCAAAAGGCAATTACTTCATAATGTAGAATACCAGATTCCATCAACTGTCTCCAAAGGACTGAATGTTCTGCAGGCATTTTTCAGCAATGCAGGCCTTAGGTGGATGTTGTTTGTCATAGTTTTAAAGAGCATATACGTTCAATGAAGATTCTTGCTAAATTCTCCCTTAGATTTTATTTGCTTTCATTTATATTGATGTCCTAAAACAAATTGTCATTTTCTCTCTTTCCCCCCTTTTTTTCAGTGCCCTTTTCTAATCAGAGCTTTTAATGCTTTGTCTGAGTTCCCCATACTTCATAGTTTAGAACATAATTATTTATGTTGATTTAAAACATTATATTATACTATAATACATATTAAACTGCTTAAGGAACTCCTGTCATATCTCATGAACACAGACAATAAAAGTAAAAGCAAATAAAGAGAATCAGCATTTTAATTCATTAAGTGAAATTATCTAAATAAAAATAAAATGTAGCTAAGGATACATATTAAAACTGTAAATTCTTAAAGGGTCACTTGCAACATTTCTTTTTGTGTCCCTTGCATTTAAATATATATATACCTACTGTTATAAACTCTCATTACAAAATAACCTTTGAACTATGGTTACTTACTTTTCTTATTAACTACAGGAAACATTTATTTACATATTTAAACTGGAGTTCTTTTAAAATTTCACTACCAACAGTCTAAATAGATACTTGACTTCACCAAGTCAAGTCTCTCATCCCACTTTCCACACTGCAAAGCGCCGCAGTGCTCGCCCGGAGCAGTGAAAGCACACCGACGGAGGCTTACGGTTTTCCAGTCTGCCTTCATTGCTCTCTGCTCATCTGTTGCCTCAGCAACTCATTTAAACTGGTTACTTTCAGGCGGTGTTTCTTCCTTCTCATCTAGTCTTCACGGGAACAATTTCATATGTCAAGACACTGGACAGTCAAAGATTTACAAAATAATAGAATTGCAATAAAGAAATGTGTTTATAATAGACAATCAGAAGCCAAACGTCCTGGGTTGAATCCCCATCCTTCTACTAAAAGCAAGTTTCTTGAGCCCTCCATACTTCTATCTCCTTATCTGCAAAAACAGGAATAATAAAAGAATATACTTCATAGTGGTATTATTATAATTAAATGAGTTAATATTTTTAAAGCACTGAGACTCTTGCCTAGCATTTAAAAAGTGCTCTATGTTTTTTATGAGTTAATACAGTAAATTGAATTAAATTAATAAATAGATTAACACTGTAACACTACCTTTATTTGCCTTACTTCCACTTTAAACACACATGCATGCACACACAAAGTCAGAGAAGTGTTTTACAGGGGGAAAAAGGTATTTCACTGGCAATTTATATTACTTAAGTATCAGTTAAGCAGCAAGCACTATTTAGCAAAGTGTGTACTGCAAATTAATGGTGATCAGTTAAATCCTACTAAGTGGTATACATACTATTGATTGGCCAGAAGAAAAAGTTTTATTGACAATTTTTACCGACATTAACAGATTTAAAGTGAACAATCATTACATATCTTATTATGTTCTTAAAATCTGTTTTATTTCTACATTTCTTACTAAGAATACAGTGGTCAGTTTATCTTTCTCAGCCAATATTGAGTCCCCCTTTTGGTATTTGTTTTGATTAATACATTGTCATGTTATTTGCATGCTATTGAATGTATTTTCAAATATGTATTCTCTGTTGTTAT